CCCCAACAAACCCCAACCAGAAAAACATCCCAAAAAATCACCATGCCCATAGGAGTCAAAGCAACATTGGCTATATTCCTTCTGAATTTAGAGACCATATCAATAACAGATTTGGTACAGAAGGACACTAATTAATGAAGACCAGATGAGTTGTAGGATGACATACATGTTAAAAATAAAAAGTCAATAAAAACAAAATAAAGACCAAAAATAGATGTCAGAAAAGATGCTGGGAAAAAGAAAAGAAAAGATGCTGAAACTTTCTCTAGAATGAAGAGAAGCTAAAGCAAGTAGAAGAAAGGATGAAGAGAGCTGAACACAGTATTTCAGATGGTAACTTGAGAAGATAAAGCAGACTATTAAAATGAAGTGTGCAGAGGGAGTTCTAGTGACCTAGTGGCAAGAAGCCGCACTGCAATCCTGAAGGCATTTGAATCCATCAGATGCTCTGCTGAAGAAGGAAGGGCAATCTCCTCCTGTGCCAGTTGGATATGATTTGAGGGTATACAACAACAAACAGAAAAAAGAGTTGGGGAGAATCACCACAAAAAATTGCACAAAAAATGAAGTGTGCAAAGACCTGGAATTTTAAAAAAAGAAGAGCATGCTAAGTGTTCGTGTGATTGGTTAATGTTACTATAATCAGGTTTGGAATGAGTATAGTTCTAGCTGCAGGAAACTGAAATATTGTACCAGCAAAGAAGAAATATGTTGTTTGTTAAGTGTCAGTGAGTTAACTGCGATTCATAGTTATCAACAATAGATCTGACCTTTACCCTATCCTGTGCCATCCAAATGATCTGTGCCATGCCTGTGTCCATTGTTATAGTCACTGTGTCAATCTGTCCAGTCTAATGTCTTTTTTCTAAGGACTAGCACCTCCTAATAACATGGCCCAAAGTGTGTAAAACAGAGTTTCACTATCCTTCTTTCTAAGGAGCACCTTGGTTCCACACTCTCCAAGACAGATTTATTTGTTCTTTTATAAGTCCTGGTATATTCAGTACTCTTCACCAGTACTACAAATCAGACATGGATTCTTTTTCTGTTATCCTCATTTATTGTTCAACCTTTAGATGCATAAGAAGCAATTGAAAATTCCATGACTTGGCTCAAACACGTTAGTCTTTAAACTGATACCAGCTCTGGACATACTTATTAACCTGTGCCAAGAAATTTGGAAAGCAGCCATCCAGACAACTGATTGGAAGAGGTAATATGTGTTCCCATTCCAAAAAAGAAATAAAAATCGTGGTCCAACAAACTGCAGAAATTATCAACCAATTCATTAATATTACATACAAGTAACATCTTAATGAATATATTTAAAATAAAACTGGAACAGCAGAGCAACTAGAAACTGCTGGAAGTTCAAGCTGGATTCAGAAGAGGCCTTGGAGAGATGTCAGAAGGATCTTGGTTGAAAGCAGAGAATACTACAAGGATGTTTACTTGTGTTTTGTTCACTAAACACAAGGCATTTGAATGTGTAGGTCATAACAAATCATGGCTAATATTGAGAAGAATGAGAATCCCAGGACATTTGTGGCTCATGCGAAATTTACAGATATACTAAGAAGCAGTTGTCCAAACAGAACAAGGGAACATTGCATAGTTTAAAATCAGGAAAAGTGTACGTCAGGGATGTATCCTTTCTCCATACTTAAATAATCTGTATGCTGAGAAAATAATTTGAGAAACTGGATTAAAAATGAAGAACATGATTAGAAAGAAAACTCATAAACAACCTGTGCTATGCAGATGACACAACCTTGCTTGAAGAAAGTGAAGATTTATAGCCTTTACTGCAGAAAATCAGAGATTACAGTCTTCAATGTGGATTACATCTCAAATCAAGAAAACAAAAATCCTCACCACTGGACCAAGGGGCAACATCATGATGTTGTTGTTGTTGTTGTTATGTGCTATAGAGTCACCTGCGACTCATAGCGACCCTATGTACCACAGCCCTAAGCCCTGCTCTATCCTGTGCCAATCTTATTGTCTCTGATACACTGACCCCCATTACCCCAGTCACTAAATCAATCCATCATATTGAGGGTATTCCTCTCTTGCATTGTCCCTCCACCCTTCTCAAGCATGACATCTCTCTCCAAGGACTGATCCCACCTTGCAACATGACAGATAGATAGAAGATAGATAGATAGATAGATAGATAGATAGATAGATAGATAGATAGATGATAGATAGATAGATAGATAGATAGATAGACTGATTTAAAAAATTGGAATTGTCAAGGATTTTTTACTTGGATGCAAAATCAACATCCAGTCATAGCAGCAGTTAAGAAATCTTAACCAGACTGGGAAAATCTGCTGTCAACACCCTCTGAGTTGCTAAAGAACAGGTGTATCAATTTAAAGCAGATGGTATCTGAGAACCAGAGACTCATGTAGGACAGAATTGACGAGGACTGCTGCCCTATAAAGCCAAAGCCAGTGACCTTTGCCCAGACTGGCTGGAGAACCAACGGGGAGATACCATAATTAGTAAGTCTAAGTAAGAGAGCTTTTTAACACTGACTTAAAACTTAGAGACTGGAGGTCTTTGAGCATGTTTGATATTGTTGCATGTTACAGTCAGGGGCATTTTATGATTGACTGGGATTGAAGTTATGTTGCTAGAAGGATTTGTGTTTATTTCTGCCACACTCTTGGGGAATATTCTTGACACTTTGAATTTTTCTGTTTGAGGTATGTTGGATGACTCTGGTATGAATTCAGTCTATAAATGTATATGATTACTGGCTTGTGGTTCGTATTTCCTCTCCTCATTACTTAGTTTATGTATTGAGAGGTATTTTTTTCTTCCTTACTATTCCTTTCTACTAAGTGGATTTATTTCTTTTTCTTCGTATTAAGATTGTAGCTTTTAAGATTGTGTCTTAAAATTCATATCATCTTAAATTCGATGAAAGGCAGTAAAGATAATTTTTTAAACTTACAGAAGCTCAGATCAGATTTCTAAAGGCCAAACTCCGTGTTATGCAAGAAGAACTAGATAATGTTGTTTGTGAATGCAATAGAAAGGTAAGATTTTCTTTCATTTTGTCTTTGAAAGGCTTTTATATGTTTTAAGAATGATTTTACTTAATTAAGACATAGCAAAGTTTTGAGGTAAAAAAAGGAATATAACTAAAATCTTTGAGATACTGAAATTCATAGAACTAAAGAACATAATAACTAAAGTAGTTATTAGCAATTAGAATTCTCTATATTTGAGTCTTGAATATGAACATGGAGTGTAATTTGCTTTTCTTCATGATAAGTATAAATGGCTGACGATCGTAAGGAGCTGCTTTTTTTTGCCTCAGCCTTACGCTTTCTTATCAAACCTTGTACATTTTTTTACATAAACTAATCTAAACTTTCCTAACCATAGGAAGATGAAATTCAGGATTTAAAGTCTCAAGTAAAAAATTTTGAAGAAGATTGTATGAGACAGCAGCGTACAATTAATATGCAACAGTCTCAAATAGAAAAATATAAAGCTCTTTCAGAAGAAGCAAGCAAAAAATGTGATGGATTACAGCAACAGTTGTCTTCAATGGAAAGGGTAATTTTTTACCTAGATTTATGCAAAATATATAGTAAACTGTTAAATGTCACACATTTGTATATTGTTCAGTACATTTGAGGTTATTCAGTTACTTTAGTAATATTTACAGAAAACTTTTAATCATTTTTGCTTTTATATTTTCTCATTTTTTTATTCTTCTATTTTAGTGAAAGTTTACAGAAGGCATGGATTTTTATTCATTTATTCATTAATACACATTTTCCTCCCTACCCACTTCTTCAATTCACTTTGTAATGCATGTCTTGTTCCAGATTGTCAATTGCCCTACACACAATGTCCAATAATTTATTCCCTCCCTTCTCCCATTCCAGTGTTGTTGTTATTATGTACCATAGAGTTAGAATCAATCCATAGCTGACCCTTTCCTGCCGGGATTTCAGAAGCAGCCAAATGCACAGGAGGATATTGCCCATCTTTGTCCCGCATGGGAGCTGGTGGCCTCAAACTGCTTGCCTTTGGGATTGTAGCATACTTCTTGCCACTAGGCCACCAGAGCTCGCTCTTAGGATTGAAGGGTCATTTATAATCATAATCTAAATGTTCCATTAATCTCTATCAGACTGATTACTCTGGCATTTCCTGTGTTTTTAAATTTTGTTTCACATCTACTCTACCTTCCACTCTATACAGGACCTTCTACTGTAATCACAAAAAAGCTATATTGAGGTCCATAAAACTAAAGAACACATTTTCAGAGGATGAAACCATGAAGCATAGGTTCCATAGACACAGAAAAAATTATAAATCACTAACATGATAATCTCCCAATTATTTAGAAATTAAAACAATGTACTTCTAAATAGCCTATGGTAGGGGGACATTAGAAAATAATTTGAGCTTACGAAAATGAAGTAACATTAAAATTGGTGAGATGCCAATAAAGTAATGCTTAGAGAAAATTTATAACTTTGATGCTTAAATTAGAAAAGTAAAGCAACCATTATCTAAGCTTTTATCTTAAAACTCCTGAAAACTTAGAAGTCAAATAAGAATTAATAAAGTAATAAAAGTAGTAGTTAATGAATGAAATACAACACAGATACAACAAAAAATAAAGCCAAATGGTAATTTACAAAAAAATTCAATAAAAGTTCATGAGCCTCTATATAGTCTGCTTAAGAGAAAACACATATATATTATCACTATCAAGAATTGAAGAGCGGTCACTATTACATATCATGCTGAGATTATCAGTATCCTAAAGCAATACTACAATTTAGAAAACAACATAGAAAATAGAGAATTATTCAAAGGACATAAATTATAAAAAATAATTGGAAAAGTTATAGAAAATCCTAGCAGACATATATATTAAATAAATTGGTAACTGAAATCCTGCCAAGAAGAAAACTTCAGATCCACAGTTTCATTGATAAGTGATATCATCAATGAACATATAAACCAATGTTATGAAGTCCAGACATAAATAGTAAAGTCATTTTCTACAAAATATACAGTATCTAAATGGAGGAAAGACTACTACTTTTCTATAAATGATACAGGATATATGTAGTGGGGAAATGAACTTTGATCCTTACTTCAAACAATATACAAAATTACTTTAAATACAACACATTTAAATACAAAGGCTAAAACTGCACAGATCTAAGACAAAAATCTTCATGAACTTGAATGGATAGATTTCCTCTGCAGGGTGAAAAGCAGAAACAACAACAAAAATCATTGAAATGAACAAAAATTTTAAACTGTAGCTTTAATGACTGTTAAGAAAATATAAAAGCAGGATGGACACAGAGGAGGCGAGGGGAAAAGAGGAAGGAAAAAATAGATAATGAACAGTCTATTCTAAAAGGATACGGTTCGAATCTACCACCTGCTATGTAAGAGAAAGATGGGCATTCTGCCATTCGATTAACTGCCTGTGGAGTCACCTGTCTGATTAACTGTCTCTGAAAACCTGCCAGAGGATCATGTATGGGTTGGTTCTGACTCTATGGTACACAACAACAACAGGTTACAAAGTTAACAGCAGAAAAGAGAAGGGCAAAGAGGATTCATTTATCCCTATGAGAAGAGGCAGAAATGAAGCAAAAAAGATTGTGGACTTCATAGCTAATGGAATCTTTGCCTTTTTGATGGAAACAGTGAAATAAATCAGGCTTGCTCTTAGTGTAGCTACCACCCACAAAGCTGTGAAGAAGGCTGGTGAAAGCAGATGGTATTCATACACAGTTTGATTTGTTTAGAAACCTCCATAAAGAGCAGCATGTGTTTTGTTTTGTTTTGCTTTGTTTTTCCCCCTTAATTACTCAGAGCCAGAGAGATCAGTTTTCAAATAAAATACAGTGATAATGCTAGGATGGGAAAAAAATTATACAAAAGAATACAGTCAGTTATATTCTTAATTACATTTTGCAACTCATAATATTTGTTGGCTCTTTTTGTATAAGGCCTTGTACTAGATCTTGTAGGGATTGCAAAAGAACTACTACAAAATAAGTTCAGTTCAATAAACATATTGTTAATCCCTCTTAGTTTTGAGAATATAGAAATTATAACAGTCCTTGTCCTCAAGGAGCTTATGCTACACTGGCAGAATGGAATTAAATTCTATGTAGTCTTAAAACCACACAGAAGGTTCTGTAAGATTATGTGTATCAAAGTACTTCTTACCTGGGGAAGATAGTATTAGATAAATATAACAAGTCAGTTCTGATTCATTGGGACCATCCACTGCGTTTCTGAGGCTGTAAAATCTTAAGGGGAGGGGATTGCTCATCTTTTTCCCAGGGAGAAGGTGGTAGATTTCAACTTCCAGCATTTGTGTTAGCAGCAAAAAATACTACATATTATACCCAGAGCTGAGTGTTAAAAGATAAGTAAGTGCTGGTATTGTTGTTATTGTTAGTTGCCAGAAAGGTGGCTCCAACTCATGATGACCTAATGCTGTTGTTATTGTGTGCCATCAAGTTGTAATCTCAGAGTGACCCTATGTATAACAGATCTGAACTGTGCTCTGTGCTGAGCCAATTTCACAATCTCTGACATGCCTATCCCCTTAACCCCAGTCACTGAATCAATCTATCTCATCCAGGGCCTTCCATTCTTGTGCTGTCACTCCAACCCTTCCAAGTATGATCTCCCTCTCCAAGGATTGGTCCCTCCTGGCAACATGCCCAAAGTATGT